AACTTATCGAATCGGTCTAAAATCATTCGGTCAATTTTTTACCAGATGTCCCAAAATTTATGAGAACAGCTGTAATGATTAAAACATAAAATTTACATTAGTAATCAATATAATACGAATAAACTAACTATATATGAAGTAAATTTGTAAGAAATTTTTTTGTTAAGATACTCAGAGCAGTCTCATCAATGAAATTATGAATATTGCACTTTTTTTAATTAAAAAAAATCATTTGTTGATTTTCGCTCTCCGCGAAACGAATCAACACGCATGAAACGTTACATACGTGTCATCTGAACGCGCCGTTCCGTATGTCGTGATATAATGTGCCACCCCTTGCCGTAATTTCCTTGCCATCCATAAAACGTGCCACACGATCTGTGCCATTTCGTGCATCCCTTGGACCAATTTTCTTATAGGGTGAGTATAAACATCAGTTTATTTAAATTAACTAAGATCCTTTATTAATTGGTATATTTTAATAAACCATCAGAACACATATCTTATTAGTGTTATTTCATTCGTATCGTTCATATTAACTTATTCGGGCAAGTATAAAGATTTTTATTATTCAACGTATTGACTATTATCGCATTATGTCTCATATTTAGATTTATGTTATTTCATCGATCAATATGAAATTATTTTATTAGTTAGTGTATCTATTTAAATTTATAGATTTTGTTTTCACATTATATTATTTACTATTATATAACATTACCGACAACCATACCTTAATACACGCACGAACAATTAATTTACTATTATATCACGTTATATATCTCTGATCCGTATCATTTACCGACAACCATACCTTAGTACACGAACAATTAATTTACATACAAGTTTTATTTTACAGACAATCTTACTTTACAGACAACTTATTTCACCTACAATTCATTTCACTGACAAGCTAATTACTTACATAAACTATAACTTACGCCAACCTTAAATCTAACTCTGATCCTATTCGCTATAGGATTATTTTGTAGGTGAAATGAGTGTCGATGAGATGAACTTGCCTGTAAAATGAACTATGAAGAGAGTATCATTGCATGATATATGTCTTATTGATTTCGGTTCGTTCGAGCAAATTTATTTAAACAGAATTATCTTTTATGAGTTAGAAAATCTAAATATGCTTTTACTAGTAATAACTTACTCGATGTGCATAAAATTATTTACTAATTAATCTTATCTAAATTAGCCATGAATTTTACCACCACTATACTCCTTGTTTAGCCTCAATTTTATTAATCTTATTAATTTATTAATTAAATACAACTATATTTCTAAGTTATCCACATATAGAATTTTATTTGTCATGCTTTATCGATTATCTTGTACAGCCAGCCATTATATGCAACATTTTTTATTATTATAAGATTCGTGAGAAAAATTTTTACAATAAATTTATAAGACAATTACTATTTGTACACGGGGTGTTTAAACACGTAGTTACACAAACTAAATAGAAAAGCCAATTAGAATAGAAAATTAAATGCCTTTATTTTTGTACAACAAAAATAAAAAAATTTAATAATACAGTAATATCTTAAAATTTTCTTATGAAACAATTATTAAGCCTTTAAGAAAAAAATTACTTGCAAAATTTTAGTATAAACTATATTTCTTTTAATTCTAGTTACTACCTAACTTTAATACTAACTAAATTAAATTTATTTTAATACAAATTATTTTAATTTGCACAAAAATTGTACCCGGGTTTCAAACACTCCGTGTATGATTGGCTTTTTCTAATAAGATTATATGGGCTAGATGCTGAGAAAAGGGACAAAATTACAAAAAAAAAAAGATCTTCAGAAATCAATTTTTATGTTGTAAATCTTATAATAAATCATAAGAAAAATGCAAACTTTAAAGAGCTATATTGCAAAATTTTATTAACGCAACTACTTTTGCGTCTTAAGTGAAAAATGTTTCTAATCTTATTTAAAGTGATTTATGTAAAAAAAAATTGCTTTTGAAAAAATTGTCAATTTCGTCCCTTTTCTCAGCACCTAGCCCATATAAAATTATATATCGGCTGACTTTAACCCGGTGAAAATAAATTTCCCTATTTTATAATTTGAAAATCACGAAAACATTTTTCGAACTATATATCTTTGTGTAAAAATAAAAGTGCTAACGGAAGTGACAAACCGCTTATGTAACTACCCAAGAATGGAAAAGTTAAAGGCCTGTTATTAGTCTGTTCTTAAAAGTTGATAACACAAATAATTTCGGAATTTTGCATGCGTAAAACAAATAAACACTTTTAATTTTGACTTAAAATTCACCAATCGGAGTACCAAATAACCTGTATACTACCGAAATCTGCATACTCTAAAAATTTCTTTATCCATTGATATTCACAATATTTATTATAACCTATTTTTCTTGGCAAGAAATCTTTAATGGAATGAAAGGCTTCTAATATAAATATTTATATATTAGTTAATTAAAAAATTAGATTCGCACATAAAAAAGCTATAGACCTTAATGAGATCCTGATTTTCCGATTCTACCGATATTTCTTCATTAGGTATAATTTTTTCAAGATTCCTCTCCTTCCATTGTGCTTTTGTAACGATTCCAGAGCTTCCACATATAACATGCACAGAGTTTCCAACCTTTACGTGATTAATGAATAAATACTGTATGACTATCTTTTATCATCTCTTAATCCACTCAATATTGTTAGTGGACAATAATTTTATTAGGGTATATGATTTTTTAGCCTTTTCTTCTTGATATTAAATGCAAGAATAACGATGGATGTTTATTTTGTACAACGTTAAATAGTTTGTTTATTTTCATACAACGCTAAATATTAATACAATGCTAAATAGTAGTATTATATTGTTTAGTTGCATTCAACGTTAATGAATTAGCATATGTGCATAAACCTAAAGTAGTTATGTGTCTACCACTTTTTATTCAGACGGACTTTGAGCTCCTTCATGCGCCAGATTTGTAAAATAGGGTTATTTTCTATTAATAACCATCATTAAGTTCCAGAATTTGTAATATTCATTATATGGGACCCCACAGCAAAAGGGGGCAGTGGGCCAAAAAATTTTATTTTATTTTAATTGATTTCTTGAAGAATTAGATTAATAGGGATATAATTTTTTATAAAATTACAAAATTGAAATTTTTGTCCCACTGCTCCCTTTTGCTGTGGGGGTCCCCATATGTAATTATTTTTTAATAATAAAAATTTATTACATATAAAGTAGGGATGGCAAAAAACATGTTTTTTATTTTTACGTGTTTTAAAACATTTTTTGTGTTTTTTATGTAAAAATATTATATATGAAGTTGCAATTAATCTAAGTTGCTATTTTTAATATTAAACTTTAAAATTGAAAATTTATATATATATGTAATTCTAGCTAGATGCTATTAGAAAATTAAAATAGAAACTTCAAATAGATAGCTTCTTTAGATGTAATATAAATGCTTTTATAATTTGTTCTAGAATATTCTAAAAAAAAGTTGTATATTGTACTATGTGGCATATCACTTGACATAATCATGTGATTAAAATTCTATAATATGATTAGTTAATAAATATATATTTGTTTTTATTGTTTTTTATTGAAAATTTTAAATGTAGTGGGATATCACTATATAATATAATTATATTATATAGTGATATCTCACTTATGTTAGATTATATAATCTAGATATCATTATATAATTTGAATACCACTATAATCTAAATAATATTATATAGT